GCGAGTAGCTCCTTTTCCCCTACCGTATAGTTTAACTGCGCCGCCTGGAACGCTCCGGATTCGATGGCCACCGGATGCTCTTGTCCTAACTCGTTCACCTGCGAAATTATGAAACCCCAGCCGAAGAACGACGCATCTGTTTGTAGTAGTGTCTTCAATGAAGGGTCAAAGTGAGCCAATACTGGCGCCCTACACATCCTATCCTTCAATTCTTTAAAGGCTCTTTCCTGCTCTACTCCCCAAACAAACGGCACATCTTTCCTGGTGAGGTCATTGATCGGTTTAGCAATCTTGGAGAAGTTGGGGACAAAACGCCGATAATAACTGACAACTCCCATAAATCCCCTACTCTCTCGCAAGTTCTTAGGACGGGGAAAAGATACGACAGCATCGATGTAATCCGGGTTACTGGAAATTCCCCTCTGTGAAACCACGAACCCCAGGAAGACTACCGAATCTCTCTCAAACTCGCACTTACTAGCTTTAACGAACAAATTCGACCTCCGAAGCACTTCAAACACCTTCGCCGTAGTTCCCCTCAGTTCTTCCAACGTTTGACCGTAGATGAGTATATCATCTATGTAGACTACTACTCCCTTTCCCAGCAGCTCTCGAAAACTTTCATTCAAGAAGTGCTGAAACACAGCGGGAGCATTCCGTAGGCCATCTCGGACAACAAGAGACTCGAACATACCGTACTGTGTCCTGAACGCTGTCAGGTGTTCATGACCTTCCTTTACTCGTAGGAGTTGATAAGCCCCAATTAGGTCTAACTTGCTGAAGTACCTCGCTCTTCCCAGCTCTTCGGTTATCTGGCCGATCAGAGGCAGAGGATAGGCGTCGGGTATCGTTGCCTCGTTTAACTTTCGGTAGTCAATGACCATTCGCCATTGACCTTTCGCCTTCTTCGGTACCAAGAACATCGGTGATCCGTAGGGCGAATTACTGGGTCGAATTCTTCCGGCCGACATTTCGCGGTCTAGGATGTCTCTCAGCGCACTTCTCTGATCTTCTCCAAGCGAGTAGAGTGGAGCAACCTTCAGGTTCGCCCCCTCCTTAAGATCAAACTCCAAATCATAGCTCCTCGAGGGAGGTAATTCCTCACCTCCCTTCCTTGGGTTAAAGACATCAATGAACGAGTGGTATTGTTCAGGAACCACCTGATACAATTCCTCCTGTTCCTCCGGACTCAGTTCATCCTGATCATCTTTGTCTCGGAGATCTATCGCGTCCGTCGGAGTTGGCAGACCTATGGCCGCTAACTTCGCCGCACTTGGTGGGGTTGGGATGGGAAATTTCACCGAGTTGTCTCTTCCATCAAGGACAACCCCTTCCTTCCTCATCCAATCCCACCCTATCACAACATCTGCGTCGCAGAGCGTTGTTACATCGAGACGAACAGATCGCACTTCGGCGTCCTTCGTCAAACTAAATCCGACTTCGACAAACTCGGTGATAGGCCCCGCGACACTCACCGAGCCGTCGAACATGTGAACGGGTACGCTCACCTGATATTGTCTCCTTTCTGCGCCTATCTTCGTCGCCGCTCTAGGACTTATATATGAACAAGTAGCCCCGGTGTCCCAGAGCGTAGTTAGCTTCATTCCATTAATTAAAATGTCCGATTTAGGTTGATCTCTGGAAACGGAAGGGATGAGGAGATGATTATCGACATTGCATGAACAAGGGGTACTGAGTGGTGTATTTTTGTATTCACAATCCTCTGGCTCCATCAGTTGCGTCTCTTTTATAGGTTTGGGAATGGTGGCCGAGAGAATATGGCGGACCCGCCGAGCCTCGCCTACTGCGACAGGTCCTCTTCTTTTCCCTGGTTCTCTTCCAAATCTACTTCTCCTCCAACCGCATTCAAGTTCCTCCTTTGTCCAAGAGGTACTGCATTCCCTCCCGACCCTCCACCACGTTCTCCGAACTTCTCTCCCCATGGAGGCAACAGTCCAACCTTAACCTTAGCCTCCCTTACAGGACATTCCTTCAGCCAATGTCCTGTTTCACCACACTCCGTACACTTCCCCTCTTTCCTCCTTGTCTCCCTCAGATCGGAGCTTGGCCTAGGCCATTTTCGGCGAACTTCGTCGATGTTCGGCGGCGCACTCCTTACCACCGTGGACGTCATGGCCGCTTGGACACCAACCTGCGCCGAAGGTTGTCCTTTTTCCCATTTCTTCTCTTCTTTCTTCTCCGTCCTCTGACTTTCCACCACTGTCGTTGTCCTTATCCCTCCTTCCCTTTTCCTCTCTGCCTCCTTCTCCACTTGTCTCCTCCACAGGCGGTTGTCCAAGGGAATCACAAACTCCAATAGCTCTTTTACAGTCCCAAACGATCTACCGTGTCTTGCGATTTCATCTAGAAGGTGCGATTTTAGTCCTTTCTTGGCTCGGTCAACTAGGTTTCCATCATCAGACCACTTGAGAATCGCAACATGTCGCTGAAAGGCGGAGAAGTAGTCCGAAGCAGACCCGGTTTGCTTGAGGTCGTTAAGTTGTCGGGCCGCAGTTCCTTCTTCGTCTGGATCACCAAAGTTAGTCTTGAGGTACTTAACGAACTGATCGTGTGTCGTGAGGTACTCAGGAAGAGGTCTTTTGGATAGATCGGGCTGCACTGCAAGAAGAGGTGTTTCGCGTAGATGAGAGATCATGAAAAAGACTTTCTTAGTGTCGTCGGGGAAAAGATGAGAGTTCAATTCGAAGTGTACGTCGCACTCAGACAGAAAGGCGGTTAACTTGTTCCGATCTCCTCTCCATAGGTCTGGGTTAGGTAGCTTTATCCCTTTCCGTTGTTCGCCCACTACGCTTGGGGTCGCCGAAGTTTGCCGTCCCATGGCGTACCTCACCCCTTCTGATATCCCTTCTGCAATCCCGCCCACTGTATCCCTTTCTCTTCTCTGTTCCCATTCCTCCCTACGTCTTCTCTCCTCCATCATGTCTTTGTTCATATTCGCCACCATCTGCATCAAGGCCAACACCACCCCTTGTGTTCCTTCTTCTCCCAAGTTCGCCGTACTTCCAGTGTTTTCTCTTGGGCGTGGGGTTTGGTCTGATCCAAGTGGGGATCCCACAGGTGGAAGAGCATTAGACGGAGGAGAAGGAGGGTTAGAAAGCACCGGTGGAACGAACTCATCTCCTTGAATTGACCCCCCCACACTATCCTCAACTCCAAGGTCCTGCCCCATTGCTCTGCTAAGCTCCTCCAATGCTCTCCTCTCGTTCTCCTCCATCCTGTCTCCATCCCTACTCATGCCTCGTGTAATTCTTCTTTCTGGTTCCATATTATCTTCGTACTTCTCCGAGGTTCGCACGGGTCGTCGGTAAGAGCGATCCTTGATACTGTCACGGCCGTCGAACAACTACTTCTTAATAGACCGACGGTCGACGAACCTCGGCTAACTTCACGCTCTGAGTCGATGTCTCACCCAACCAGGAGGGCGCAGACGTCGAAAGGGGTGTAACTACGGCGTACTTCGGCGTAGTTACTCTAACTAGGGTTTTGATCTACTGATGGCGATGTATCTTGATTTATAGCTATCTCTATCTGTCTTTTACTACTGACAACAATCAAGGATCGCTGAAGAACTTCAGCGATCTTCTCAGCTAATATTATCTACTCCTCCTAGACGTTCATCCAACCCTCTCGCGCTTTGACGTACTTCAACGCACTTCGTCCAACTTCCCCGAGCCCTCGGCCATCCTCTTCCTCCTTCGACTAACTCCGCCTAACATCGCCGCACTTCTGCTCCCATTGTCCCTACTTAGCCTAACTCCGTCTAACTTCGCCGTACTTCTGCTCCCATTGTCCCTACTTAGACTAACTCCGCCTAACATCGCCGCACTTCTGCTCCCATTGTCCCTACCTAGCCTAACTCCGTCTAACTTCGCCGTACTTGGTCTCAGAAGTCCTGAGTTACGTGTAGAGTAAAGAGGTTAAGATGTGATGGGGGTTTTGATGGTCAAAGGAGGGTCATTGTTGGTGGAATAATCGAGGTGTCACGACGTAGTTCGTGACAGGCATGTGGGCATGAAGGTCGGGCCACTGGATATCGGCGGCCGAGAAGGTCACAAACGCATGTGGGGTACCAAGTTGTCGGATCATTGCAGCAAGGTTACGACTTTGGGCACCCCAGTAAGGGGGTGTGCCCGTCAAGGTGGCTGCTGAGCGGCGAACACGTGTTGCCAGCTCCTTTGCAGGATCAGCCACCATGGCAGCTATATCTGCAGCTGAAAGTGCCCGATCCTCATCGTTGCGGCTGACATAGAAGCCAGAGAGACGTTTGGCTCGCCAGCGCATGACACAATTGAACGCATAATACCTATCAGATTTCAGCAATATTCCAGTAGGAGAAGAGACTACTCACCGAAATCGAGGATGCTGTGCAAAACGTCCATCCTTGTACCTCAGAAGATGTCTGAAGTAGTCGGCATCTCGTACTTTGATAGACCGAGGTTGATTGAGGTCTGCTTGCCCAGTAGGAAAGAGGAAGGGGAATGCCCTTGTCAAGAACGGGTTACTGATATCATGCTCATTGACTGGTGTTGATTGTAGCATTGGACCAGTGAGGACAAGAGGCAATGCCATGGGAGCGTTTCCAGCGACTTCATTGAGAGCCTCACGCACATCCTCAATGACATTATCCACCTCACCAAGGTTGGGGATGACACCTTCAGTGATTGAATCCTCCTCAGGCAACTCTTCATCTGATGGTCCAGGGTGAGGGTTGACCGGGGTGTCCGGAGTATTGTCAACTACCACAGACCGCAGCTGATGGAGGACTGATCCGTTGATAGGGAGTTGGTTGAGAGCATCCCAGTCAATCTGTATGTTCCTGTAATCTGGATGGAATCGTTGGAGTGCATGCAGGTTTGCAAGTATACGGGAGCGTTTGACCTGGAATTCTGGGCGGCGGGAGAATTCCTCACTTGAGTCGTGTGGATGGGATTGATGGGTAGGTGGTTTGATGATCAAGATGTCTAGCTCCGTGACAGTGAGAGGGAGACGAGAGAGAAAGCGGCCACGATCGTGAACATAAAGACAGGTATGACCACCGTACTTTGTCTGACCACCTCCAACACGCCATGTTTGTAGTAGAACATGGTATGGTGATAGCAACATCTCCTCCACTTGGGAAGGAGTTTCCGGGACAACCATTCCTGCGTCCTGGCACAGTTCTTGAAGTGACTTGCCTGGGTCCATGTTATTCTCTGCAGTCCATTTTGCTGGATTTGCTCGGCAACGTGTGCGACGTCCTCCCTCCACCTGCATTCCAAACCATCTTTCTTTGCAGTATGTGCAGGTCTCCATTGTCTCTGCAGATAATTTCTCATGAAAAGTGTGAATGTGTTCAATTGCGGTGTCAGTAAGACAAACTGACTGAAGATTGTCAGGAGTGGAAGGGATTGGCAAGAATAGATTGTCGGCCTCCATTGGCATTGGTGACGAAGGAGGGGACAACTGACGACGGTGATATGCAGCCCTTGACGCCTCTCGACAAGTACTGCAGGTCTTGTAGGGAGCCAAATTGCTGTCCTCTTTGGAAAACTCCACCTTATCCTTCCATATTTTGCACTTTTGGCATCGAGTTTGTCCCTCATGTCGACTGATACGGGGTGGATGGGCAGCCGGAGGGGGACGTGGAGCTGCATCAGGAGGAGTTGTAGGTGTGACATACGGAAGACGGGGTGCACGTCTTGTACGGACAGGACGTCTCGGTTCAGTGAGGGGGAGTGGGTGAGCACGCAGTGGAGTTGGTGAGAGTGGCTCTGGTCGAGGACGTGGCATACCCCTGTGTGTGCCGGGAGTTATTTCGCCTGGGGAAATGGAAGTTGGATGAGGCCTTGACCGGTTGTTTGACTCAGGAATAGGTGTAGTTGGTCGCAACTCTGGATTGTTTTGTTCCATGCAGGATTGACACGTAGTGCGGAGGCGGTTGCGCATGTCCCGAAAGTGTGGTGTTGTGAATGTAAAGCCACAATTTGAACATTCAAGCTGAATATGGCGGTAGCGTGGTGTGGCAATTGATATTGGTTCTTTCTTTCGACAAAAGGAGCAGGTCCTGTAAAACTCGTTGCTCTGGTGACCGGTCGAAGCTTTTCGGAAGTGGTCATCATTGAGCTCCTTTGTCACGGCCGTCGAGCAACTTCTTCCTTATAGACCGACGGTCGACGAACCTCGGCTAACTTCACGCTTCTGAGTCGATGTCTCACCCAACCAGGAGGGCGCAGACGTCGAAAGGAGTGTAACTACGGCGTACTTCGGCGTAGTTACTCTAACTAAGGCTTTGTTCTATTGATGGCGATGTATCTCGATGTATAGCTATCTCTATTTGTCTTTTACTACTGACAACAATCAAGGATCGCTGAAGAACTTCAGCGATCTTCTCAGCTAATATTATCTACTCCTCCTAGACGTTCATCCAACCCTCTCGCGCTTTGACGTACTTCAACGTACTTCGTCCAACTTCCCCGAGCCCTCGGCCATCCTCTTCCTCCTTCGACTAACTCCGCCTAACATCGCCGCACTTCTGCTCCCATTGTCCCTACTTAGCCTAACTCCGCCTAGCATCGCCGCACTTCTGCTCCCATTGTCCCTACTTAGCCTAACTCCGTCTAACTTCGCCATACTTGGTGTCAGAAGTCCTGAGTTACGTGTAGAGTAAAGAGGTTAAGGCGTGATGGGGTTTTGATGGCCAAAGGAGGGTCATTGTTGGTGGAGTAATCGAGGTGTCACGACGTAGTTCGTGACATCCTTGTTTCGAGCATCACATCGGGTTCCCCTTGAGCAGTGCATGGGCTGTACTGTCAGCATTGCAAGTACTAAGTAGTGTTGAGAGTGCTTACATCTGGTAGGCAAAGAAGGTCGCCTTATGCCAGTGATGGTATTGGTTCTACATGTGTTAGTTACACATCAGCAGTAAAGGAGATTGACTTACCAAGAGTGAAAAAATGCTGAACATGCATGTATAGGACAGAGAGGTGGTTGATGACGCTGTGTATCAGGATTGTATGCATGTGGATGGGGATGTGGCAGAATGGGATGCATTGGGATGTGGCAGAATGAATGCATGAGGGTTGTGGCGGAATGGATGCTTACTGTGTTGCTATGAATGTGGCAGTAAATAGGCGTGTACCTTGAGGGTTCTCAGTTAGGTGTGGGGAGGGGACTTTGTGGCACTTTTTCGATAATTCCTTATCTGGCCCCCCCACTTAAGCATTCAGTTGGCCAGAGCTTCGCCTATGTTGAAAAGTAGAAGTATGAAAGGAAAATAGATGTGGCGGAAATTCAGCTTTTTATCAGTCGCGCGTTTTTCTGTTTTTGACCCCCCCACTTTCCGGTTTTTTCCAGGCACATCCGCAGAAATTCTCCCCGTAAGAGCTACGCTGACTACTCGAACTACTCGTACCGCGTACCTACTTCTTCACGATGAATGCCACGGTCCGGCTAGAGCGGATGCCGGTCTCTGCTTAGTTTACGTAAACAGCTGATTTGGCCGGCCGATCGAATGCTGATGACCGAGCAACGATCTCACTTTTCCCACCTTACATCGTACGTCGCACAGCATTTCACCTTATTCAACTTTTGGTCATGGTATCCATCTCATACCTCAGCATATGACATCCCTCCGCCCTACTCCCTCGTTATATTGACACATCGCTGAGTAACTTGATCCGCCATGTCGTCGTCATCAACCATCGTGTCGACCGGATCGACGACTACGTCGTCACCCTCCTCTTCAACCACTTCATCAAATAGAGGAGGGGGAGGCATGTCAGTCTCCTCTTTCTCTCATACTTTCACTACTGACTCCAAGGTCTTCTTCACTTTATCTATTCACATTCCTGATCACAATCGTAGTTCTTGGTCTTATCTCCGCTGCCCTCCTACTTCGGGCGTTTTACATCCGTCGAGCTTTTCATCGAAGAGTCGAAGAAGCTCTACAGAGAGGTGAAGCATTACCAGAAGAAGCTATGACCGCTCTTGGTATGACTCGACCAACCAAAAAGAAGAGAATAGGACCCACACCAAATCTTTGGGAGACCGAGCTGCTTCATCCCGATCCACACCCTTCTGACGAATGGGAATCTTTCACTGTCAGTTCACTCTGTATCCCCTATGAAGTGGTTTGGGATGGCAACTGACTGACAGCCACTCGGTATGGTTCGTTTTCCCCCAAATATCGAATCAACACCGCCCCCAGTCCAGACTCTACCTCCATTTCAACCTATAACTAGAAACTTCTTTCGGTCCGTCTTCCGACCCACAGCCCCTCTACCCCTTACAAGACGCACCGACCCTGTGCAACCTCTCGCGGAAGACCCGGAAGAAAGGAGCGGTCCCGCCTTCGAACTTCCAGAATATGGAGAGAAAGTCGTTCTAGGAGTCTTGATTTCCTTACCTAGTGAAAGTCAGGTCAATTGGACGAAAGAAACGGATGAGGATAACGTCGAGATACCTGAAGTCTGTTTAGGTGTCAGTATGGCTAGAATAAGCGAATGAAAGGATGTTTTGGTATGTACAGTATCTCTATGTTGTATCCCTGCATTGCCTTCACGACAGACTATCTAGTACGTCATCCTGTTTCGTAATGACCCGGATCTAACGGCCTTCCATAGGCTTCGCAAAGAGATAAGACCTTTGTAGAGATACGTAATCTTATGGACAGCAATTGGGTGCTTGGGAATTGACGCCTTCCAGATAAATGTTCGTCGATGAGGACTTTCATGTCGACAGGTATAATAGACGACAAGATATCCAATCTCTATTCAGGACTATATCCACGACTCTACTCACGACTACCTGGCACAGACCGACGGTGACAGACGAAACGACTTTCCACGACTGAATAATGTCGACCAGTTCTCCCATTCAATCAAGCAGGAGAGGCTGTAATACCATTGAACCGTTCCGCAACGGCACTGCTGCTACAAAGACGAGAAGAACATCAAAAACCTCACCCTCTGCACGCCCACCGAGCCATCCGAGTTATCACGTGAAAGAGCCCGGAACCCATGATTCATCATCGACGTCAAAGCGTCCTACAGTCCCCTCAGGGATGACTCGGGCGCCCTCGACAGGCTTTTTGGAACAGATGGGCACCGGTGGGCCTCAATCGTACGATCCTCTTGACCGTCAATTCCTCCCCTACTACAATCCGTTAGTCCCCCAAAACTCGTCCGGCCTTTCGGCGGCTCAGACCAGCCGACCGGGATACCCTTTCACCATGTCGACTGATTCTCATCCGGCCGATGGTTCGCCGCCATCCTCTATAAATGCACAAGCCTTGGCTGAGGACTTCGTGCTTATTCCAAAATCGTTACTTTCCTCGCCAATCCCCACCGCGCCTCTGAACAATTCATCAGGCTCCAGCGTTCATGTGCCCGACACCCAACCTCTTGAAATCGTGAGAGGCGTCCTCAGATTCATCAGCCGTGGAAGCTTTGGGGTTCGATGACGAAAGCACATTCCCCTCATTCCCACGACATCACCCTATCACATCGCATCTTTCCACCCCCCCATTCCCTCACGCGACCTCCCAACACTGCTCATAAATCATTCTCCTTTGTTCGAAGAAACGTCATGGTCGGAGTGACGCGTGGCGATGACGCTGAATGGGTGACAAGATGACGCCATGAGAAAACTCTCACGCATCATACATTTACACTCATGTTAGGAAATTTTGGGAGGGAAGGGGAGGGGAGGAGAGGTTTGAGTCAAAGTGATTTTGTGGAGCCATATTTAAACCTTTCTAGTAAATCATCTCACACTTTCCACTAGAAGATTCTCTGACGAAATCTAGATTTGTGACGTAGTTCAAGAAGACGTTTGGGAATACTATTTAAACCCCTTTTGTCAAGAAGCGAGATCTATCTTCCCGTCAAATACCCTTCGATTAGTAGATTCTCACAATGCAACCCTCGAGCCCAACTATCTCCCGGACCTCGTCTGTTAACAGCGGCATCAGTAAGTTTCAAGACCTCATCGGAAAGTCACCAAGCCGACCGATTCTGACTATCTCTCAAGCTTCCGGAAAGTCTGATTTACCGTCCTCGCCAGATGAGCTCTTGCAAAGGCTCTATCGGTTCGACTCCAATGGCCCACCGTTCCCGCCGTCAGACACTCTTTCTAGCCAGGGCGAGGCGTATCTGGACCACAGTATGATCACGTTCGAACGTGATTATGAATCCTATCTGAATCTTCCCAGCTCCAACGCACAAAACCACTCGACGTTTGAAAGATACGATTGCACCTTTTGTGGCTACCTCAGCGCAACACCGAAGTGCCCGAAGTGCCCGAGCACATCTGAATCCTAAATTTCGAAACGGGGTTTCATTTCAGCTTGAGGTCTTCATGAAAATGACTCTTTCAATGTCGAAATACCGGAAGAGTTCCAGAGTATCAAGCGTACATGTTCGTCTCGGTTAAGTGATCTAGAATGACCTGTGAAACTGGAAGGGAAGAGAAAGCGAGTGGAAATTGTTTAGTAGATGTGATAAGATAGATAGATTTTTATGATGCAGAGATGACCGGTTTATCCTGAGAGACGTACGATTACCCTGCATGCTGATGAAGGCTTGTGTTACTCTACAGTTGCACTTCATCATAACATTCCGTCGTAGATCGTAGAGGTAAATGTGAACGAGGAAGAAGTGAGGCTTCGCCACCTTCGGAGTTTACGAACGATCTCTATATTTCTTCTGCAAGCTACCCTAATGACCCTCCATCTACTTGTATATCACTACAATCTATCTCTTCATCAACCTGCAATGTACTCGTAGCCTCTCCGATTCTCCGACATGCAAGTTCATGAACAATATGACCTCATCCAAGCATTACGAGCCCGATCGACAGACTGACAACCACCATTCATTCATCAAAAAGCGGAAGTCTAAATCCTCTCTTGTTCACATCTCGAATCCTTTCACCATCGCGGAGTCAGTCGGAGGATGAATGATATTTCTCACGACTACGATACGAGATCACAATTGGGGAGATGCCCCGGGCAGAGGGATATAAGGAGTTTGAGTTTCTCTGTTGTGTCTTGACCCTTTGGTAAGTTTTTTAATATGACGGAGTCGGACTGTTTGACTGTATCACCTCCACGTCAGAATCGTCGTCGATCGAACGCTGTCAGTCTTGCTGGCTCTCGTGCGATTGATCCGAGCGTGCTCAACCGAAGTCCCGATGGCGATGGCGAGGGCGATGGAGATGGAGATGGAGATGGAGATGGAGATGGAGATGGAGATGGAGATGGAGATGGAGATGGAGATGGAGATGGAGATGGAGTCGGAGTTGGTGATGACGATGACGATGACGATGATGATTATGGTCTTGCACCCGAAGCTCCCAAACAACGTGATATTGAAGAAAAGCATTATAACAATCCCCGAGTGCTCACTCATGGTTTCGACATTCCTTCAGAGGCCGAGTCTGGATCGGCAGGTTCAGAAAGGACCTTTCGTGAAAGTGGAATAGCGGTCATCACTTCGATCGATCCATCCCTACTTGTGAGCGAGCAAGAACGATATACTCAAGAGTCGCAGACCGTTCCCCATTCATGGTGGTCACTTGAACAATTAGCTGCTCATCGAAACTCCTCCAGAAGACCGCGTAAAACTATCCGCAGTGGTGCGAAAGAGATTGACCGTTCCCTGGTTATGGAGAACTCCCCGATCTTATCATATGGAGGTTTGATAGAGAGTTCATGTCTACTTCATCAACATCGAGTCGCTAGCTTCGAACCTCCTACACAATGGCTTTGTCAACATGATGGATCTTCGACCGAGCCGATATATCTGTCAAATCGATTCGAAGAGAAAGTTGACTCAACAACAGCTGTGACATCATCAGTCCCAACGGTGAAGTTGACACCGTATAAACCCCAGAAACCTCCTCCTCCGCCAGGAAGATACCCACTCAGATGTTATCCCGACCCTGGAACCGATTCTCCCGTGAGAGCGCGATGGGAGGACGGCACTTATCAGCTCACGGAGGACGATGAAGATGATGCGTACAACATGTCGAGTGACGAGGAGGAGTAATGCATGGAGTGAGGATGTCGAAGGGAGAACGGTTTGTCACATAGTCATTTTCAAACCAAGTTTAATGAGGACACGAATCGCACAGACTTGATTCTCCAGCCTGGGGCGACCATCAATGAATTACATCTTACCTACAATCTGCAGAGGGTCGAACGGTAGTGGATGAGTATCGTCAGTGGTTGGGATGTTGGAGGAGGGAGGAGGAACGTGTAGAGTTGTGAGAAAAGAGTAAGTGATGCATATCTTCTTAATCTCCGCTCAGAGCGGACTTTCACCTTCGAAACCTGCCAAATACATTACGACTATCTAACAACGTTCTTTCCGTCTTCTTCGGCCAACTCGACCTATGTTCTGATAAATCACCTCCACAAACATCTTTCAATATAGAAGATACTAAACTTCTATTCCTCGTCTTCTCAAACAACTTCCAAATTCTTCTCGTAGCCTCCACCTCGACAAACCCCTTTATCTCTCACGTTCTCATCCACCGCCGGGGACCCGGGCGGATCATCTATCAACCACGTTCTTACGAAATACGACTCTCTCCCCTTCCCTTCCGTTGTTCGAAGCGGTCTAGACCCATCCAAGCTTATCGAACGAGATACGGGGGCACTGCTTATCCATTGTATCTAGCTCTTTTCACGGTGGTGCGGGCTGAATCGGGGATTCGGGATGGTTCTCAGAGTTTATCAAGAATGTGGGAGGGAAGGATAGACTGGGCAAAGGATATAAGGTGGGACAGAGTCGAGTAAGTCCCTGACCCATCACTCATTTCAGAAACACCACGATCATGGCTGCCTCTACAACAGTTACAAGCAAATGCGGAGAGGTGGAAGATGGGCTGACCGCATTCAGTCATGAAATGGAATCGAAGCAGACCGCTCCTCCTCCGGTACGACATGAATCTGATCCTGACCCAACACCGGTCGCCATGACGTTCTCTGTTGGCGACATTCTCGCAAGTTCCGAAAAGGACGGTTCTCAACCGAACACAGACCCAAGCAGCTTTTGCGCAAGCAGTTCTGTCGGACTTATGACTAATTTTTCAACTGATGATGAAAGTGATGCAGATGAACCGCGTTCGCCCTGGACGACGGCGTACGATATAAGAAAGGGCGGAACCTTAACGGTGACAAATCCAGACCCGGACGCACCGCGATTTGACAGTGCAAGTGAGGCCACGGCGTAATGTTATAGGCCCGACTAGCCCTCGGCCAGGCTGAACGGAGCAAGACTATAATGATGACTTTCAGGTTAGATGCATTTTCAAATATGATGACGCACAAGATTCACTTTTGAAGTGAACGATGTTAAACAGGACACGGCGGATTTTTGTGACTTCCACCAAATCAAGTTCGAGCTTTGTATGTTTCGTGGTGTGTTTGTGAATACATTATGTTGCATGGACTGACTTAAGGTGCTTCTTGTTTGTCTGCGGATTACGCAGCAACATGTCTGGAGTAGATTGAGACCACATGACTTCGTCAAGCCATTGTACTGCATATCATGATAATCATGCCAAATGTCGAAATCCAAGACATCCATGTTCATACATCGTCATTGCTCGTCTCTTCCGTCTCTACCCTTCTGCCTCTCTTTCTCACGAAGTGGATGACCTCTGACCGACTCCGTCTACCCAGTCTGATCTATGACCCACTCTTGTACTAAACGGGAGACACGTCGTATCGGCTGTCGTACATTGAACCGCATATTCTATCCGGAAGCTTTCCAGGATGGTCGTGAGAATCTCATGAGAATAGGAAAGAACAAGATGTCATGTTGATCGTAGTGGTGATGTCTCCGGGTCGAGTTGACTAAGAAGGAAGCTCAATTGTTGTACGTCTTCTGTGAATGGTGCGGAATTGCTTGAAGTCATTCTAGGACCACCGCCTTGTGGAGGTGAAAGGGAAGATTTGTTGAGATCTTCCATTGCTAGCCAACTGGTTGTTAGAGACATCCTTATCCTCATCGCGAGCCTGTCCAACCGCAATGTTTCACATGGCAAGAAGAGATATCACGCCTGACTTGACTCTCTCAGTCACGATTTGATTCTCTCAGTTACGATTGAAGGAGCGGTGGAGGTGAAGCGAAAAGTTTGATGAATACTGATTACATAGGTTCGATGGGCGGAAAATATTGATTGACTCACTGATCCAATTGACTCCTCAATGACTTTGCCTTCAACCTAAAATGACTATACATAGCTTGTTCAAAAGGAAAAGGTTTCCCATCCTTATCCTTTATCCCTTCTCCACCTTGTAAATCCTGTACTCTTTCATATAAAAACTCTTTTTCATCTCTTTCATCTTCCAATTGCTGTCTCAATCCATCAATCTCCTTCTCCAATGTCTTCAATCTTTTTGACGCTCCTGCATCCATCGGACTGGGATAAGCTCCCACAGAGAAAGAGGTATTGGTTCTTCTTGATGGTGTTAATGGTGTAGCGTCCAATTTCCTCAATTGATCTGACATGTCTTTACCTAAAGCATCATGAGATTGTTGTAGACCGCGTAAGAGATCCGCTCGATTACCCAGATGAGCATTTTCATTTGTCGACATTCTAGATTGGGATCGTATTGAGGAGAGTTCAGAGAGGAGTTGAGAATTTTCCGCTAATGAAGATTTATAGGCTTCTTCAAGTCTAGCAATCTCTTCTTGTTGTCTTTGTATTTTCAAATCTGAAGATGTAGAAGGACGAGAAGGGGAAAGGGTATTGGAAGATAATGACATTTGTCTTCGTTGATCCTGAAGATCCTTTTCCAAAGAAGCAACACGAGCCTCTGCTATCTGTTTAGCGCGATTTGCTTCTTCAAGTAACATGGATTCATCTTTCTCCGCAGCTGTAAGACTTGCTCTGGCAGATCGAGCTTCCCTACTCCGAGCACTTCTAGCTTTCTCTAGTTGACGAGTCGTATCTTCCAAATCGGCAATAAGTCGATTTCGATGAACTTCCAAACTCTTGAGAACAGTATTCAATCTTGAATTCTCTTTGATCTGTTCGGCTAATTGATTGTCGGTGAACTTCTTTGCCTGTTCCAATACATGGTAATGTTCAACAACAGTCTTGTTCTCACGACTGCGCAAGAGGGCAATTTCCGCATCTCGAGCTTTGATATCCCCCGCAGCTTTGGCCAGATCGCGTTCGGCTTGCATGGCAACATTACGATGTTCGGCCAACTCGACTTGACTGTCATATATTTGCTGCTCGAGATGTTGTCTTTTAGACAATTCCTCCGCATGAAGCCGAGAGACCATCTCAAGCCGTTTCGCCCAATCGGATTTCTCGTTTTCAATCGCCAGTACGGCATCTTCGAGGTCGTCATAGTCCGTCTTCGCTTTAGATAGCTTCTTCTCCATATCCTGACCATCAGCGACTGAGACCATCATATAATGGGCCACTCACCTCCTTGGCATTCGACACGGTTTGAAGCTTGTTCTCAGTCACTTGTAATCGATCACGCACAGCAACCACTTCCGCCTCGACTTGCCTCTTCACGGCGTCCGCCTGCGCGCTCGAAGCCGAAGCAGTCACTAACGCAGCCTCTTTTTCCTTCAACAAGCTTTGAGCAGCCTTGAGATCCTTCAATGCAGTAGTGTGACTCGTTCTCAAACTCTCGACGTCAACTTTGAGCTTGTTGGCCAGTTGTGCCGAACTGTCTCTCTGATGATCCAGGGCCTGTTGCAGCTGACCGACTTGGTCTCTCAGCCTGCCCATCTCGGCCTCTCTGCTCCTATCAGCTTCTTGTCGCTTGACATCTTCGCTGGATTTGGCCGCCATAACCTTCCTGAGGTCGTCTAGCTCTTTCTCGAGCCTTTGCCGGACAGACGCATCCGATTGGCGCTCTTTGTCTTTTGCTTGAAGCTCGGCGGTCAGGGCATCGATCTTAACTGTGAGAGCAGAACGAGATTGGTCGGCCTTTTCTTGCGCTTTTTGCGTGGCAGCTCGTTGGTTCTCGAGTTCCCCTATTTGTCGTTGTTTGGCTGCTAACGTTTTCTCCTGCTGTTTGACCAGCTGCGCTAAATCGTCGTGCTTCGTCTTGAGATGCAGCAGGTCATCTTTCAGAGCCGCTACCTGGGTGTTCCCCGATTCTCTGTGTCATTAGCTCTGAGCTCTCGTCGTGGAAGTGATCACCTCACAGTTTGTTTTTCTCCAGTTGCAACCGTTTCTCCAATTCGAGAATACTCATATCTGCCCTCTCCTTAGTTCGTCTCGATGTCTCCTCTTTCTTCTCCACCTCCCTCTTCAGCTCATCGACCGTCTGTTCCAATGCAACTCTATCCTTTTCGACCTTTGCCAGTCCTTGTGATCTGTCTTTGGTCTCGCGAAGAAGCTCCGCTTCTCTCTGACGCCAAGCCGACCCTTCTTTCTCCAATAAAGATGCTTGTTCGACCAACTGATCAAAGTCCAGTTGCATCTGTGCCACTTGCCTCTTGGCCTTTTCTGCTTCTCTCAGTGCCGCCTCTCGATCCCCATCCAAGATATCGATATCATTTTCCAACTCCGAAATCTTCTCCAATAGTTCAGCTTCTCTTTGCTTACTTCGCTCCAACATGCGATCCTTATCCCTTGCCAATTGGCGCTCTGCCTCGAGATCCACCTCGATCTTTTGCTTCTCTGCGATCATAGCTACTCGTAGATCTTCTAATCGACGCTTCTCCGCTTCGTCACGCTCTGCACGCTCCTTGGCCATAGTCAATTCAGCTTGCTTTCGCACGAGCTCGTCGTCTGTCCGGGTAGCAGATAACAGAGGCCGTACTTTGACGTACAAACTCCACCAAGGCCAATCTCGCAATTGGATATATATCCTCGCGTTACGTTGTATAGTCTGGACAGCCTGACTGCGATTCAAAAGCTTTTTGAACTTACGTCTGGCAATACTCATCCGAGCTGCCCCTTGGAATCTTTTGAACAGATCTGTGAGAAGATTGTCGCGTCGCTCCTCCAACTCTGCCAGAACGCCAGCTTTGAAGAAAATCTTAGTCGCACCGATCTTGTATACCTGCTCGTCCAGCTCCAAAGCTTTGGCAATCTTCTCAGCGGCTTTTCGTCCGTCGATATAGCCTTTGGGTATTATACCAGGTGTCAAAACCTCGTATCTTTGTCGGAACTCTGCGAAAGAGTGTCGGTTAGGATATCCGAGTCGGGCTATCCGAATACCTTCCAAGACACCATTACATCGAAGTTGATCCATGACGAGGTTCATTTCCACTTTCCCCGGTTTCTTCTCAGTGTTCGGAACAATACAACGGACAAAGTGTGGTTGAGTTGCAGACAATTGTTGCATGAGTTGACCCAACTGTTCTTTATGTCGTTGCCCGACAGTTCTAAAGGCACCTCGTTTGACTTTTTTGTGAACACCCGTCGTGGCTGCCTCCTCGGCGTAATCAGCGAAGAGATTGGCAATACTAGGAATTTCCGACTGAGCGAGGAGACGAGCGACAGCATCATTGATAGGGTCTTTGTTCTTCTCCAACCAACCGGAAGTTCGGTATTCCACGTCGCCCGCATAGTGTCGGACAGTAAAACCCGCTCCAAAGCGAGTGGACCTGAATTTGGACGAACCGGGATGTCTAGGGCTAGACCCTTTGCGCGGCTCCCACATTGAAGTGACTTTCTCAGTGAAGGTGACGTCGGTCGCTCGGGGCATGATGCACTCTTCATCGAGACAAGATAAGATACCGATAGGTTGAGAAGATTCGATGAGCTCTATGGTGGGTTGAAGATCGAGGCCAAAGTTGACGTAATTCCATTCGATACCTTCTCGCGCATACTCTTCTTGCTCGAGAGTGAACATGTGGAAGTTAAAAAATTGTTGCTTATCTGTAAGCACACTGTCCGAGACTTGGCTGATATATCAACTGACCAGCTTTTCGTTCGTGAAGTTGATGAGCAATTGCTCGTAGCTATTCTCCTCTGCCCGTCAGCGCGATACAGGTCGGGAAAATGGGCCCACCGAAGATCTCGAACCCAGCAATATCCAACACCCCGATGGAAAGCGATTTGGCACTAGGTCGGTCGAGCGCCTTGTTGATCCTCTCCACCATCCACCCAAAGGTCTTCTCGTACATATACTTGCATAATGCAGAGAGCTCGTCTTCGGCTTGCTTCTTCGTCCGGCTTTGAGTGACCCATTCTCTCCCCGCCAGTACCTTTGGGGACAGGACAGCCTTTGAGAACTCCTTGACCGGGATACCTAAGAGGTGACAAACCTTGTCCGCCAAAGGTTGATGCTCGGAGGGAAGAAGCGCTTGATTGGAAGATGAGCCTGTGAGGATGATATTGCCGATGTGAAGGATCACCGCAGGGATCCGAAACAGTTCAAGACGTTCCTCCTCGGAAAATCCCACTACCGAAAGAGCCTCGATCAGAAGTCGCCATTCTGTCAGATCGTCCACTCCATCAATTTCAAGTCGAGATCTTTTCAGAAATTCGTACTTGTTGGCATTGCTGTCCAGCAGAAGTCGTTCTGATCAGGTCAGTCTAAGCCACTGAGCCTGACTGTAAATGACTCACGACTCAGTCCGGCCTCCTTGGCGCCCCGCAGCAATTGATAGAAAACATGGAAACATCTTTCGCCCTCAGCTCGAGCGGTTACTCTACTTTTTTCGAGTAGGTACCAATCGATGTTTGCGCCAGCAATGGCTCCGCTGGGTGAGAAGAAAATCCGGATGAACTTGCCGAATCGACTAGAGTTGTTATTACGCATGGTCTGGGCATTTCCGAAGGCTTCCAAGATGGGATTGGCTTGTAAGATCTGTCTTTCGAGCAGACCCAGTGGTTGCTGATTTGGTGTTTGGGCCAGACCATACAAATCAATCTCGTCTGCTTCTTTGCCCTTGTAGCTTGAGGACCGAGGTAGACCCGAGAGCGGCGCTGTGGAAATTGACTTTGATCGGGACAAGGAGGACGAGGAATCAGAGGAGGAGATCGTGGACGAAGCGATGGCTGCGAGGTATTGGATAACCTTCTTGGTATTCTCAGTCTTTCCTGCGCCCGATTCTCCTCTATATGCAGTGAGCTTCTCTCGTCAGAGATGAGGATGATGCGTACGTTATGAGAATACTCTGAGATTCCCTTTCTTCGCCTATCTGCTGCCACGCTCTTTCCGCAACAGCAAAGATGTGTGGAGAGTTCTCCTCTCTTCTTCTGGACCGATACTGTGCGATGATCCTTGGAGTGTATATGGGTAAAGAGCGGTAAGGGTTGAGTGAAATCAAGAAAAGACTATGTTTGTTCAGCACTATCGTCCATACGCTGTCCCATTAGGCTCACCCTGAGTAAGTCTGTCTAGTCAGCAACTACTGTCGGAGAGATAAACAGCTCACGTAGATGGTCCCTGCTCCGTAACGGAGTTTGAGAATGTTGATGACGCTCGCTTCATTGAGATGCGTCAAGTCTGCGATGTCTTCCACGCCATCGAATTGCGGAGGGTTCATAGGCGACAAAGACCACAGAGGTACATTTCTCATCTCCCCTGTACTAGCGATGACCACTTGGGCTGTTGCGTCGGGACTACCCTCATCTCCAGATTGAGACTTGATCCAACCTGGTAAGAACCCCTCAACTGGGTCGGGAACCCACATCCGCCTGCTTTGAGCATCCGGAGGTGCGTCATGTAGGTAGGGAGAAGGCGAATTTACACGACGAGTGAGTGAGATAAGTCGTTCCATGAGAATGTCAGATAGAGAAGAGGGATAGGTGATGTGAAGAATGTAGTTGAACAGTGATCAGCCATCGACCGGGAATGGAGGAAAGAGCAAAGGACCCACCTCTTGTCGTTGAACTCTGCCTGGGCGGCTGCATTGGCGGCATCATCTTTGTCACGGTTGGACCTCCGGAAGAGGGCGCCAGGGTCCATGATAAGTTGGACCACCTAACCAGGTAGACTGGTGAGCAGGAGGGAGTCACACTTTCCCAAAGGATGTCAAGGGAGCTGATGATCTTTGTCCTGGTTGAACGATTGATCAGTGAAGAAGAAGGGCAGAAAGCATACAAACCAGCTGCAGTGGGAGTGTTACGGTGGCACAGTGGCTAAGGGAAGATATACGGTGAGATGGGACAACAAACCTAGGGAGGATGTATGATGGGAGGAGAAGGGAGGGAGGAGGAATGACGTTGAGAGCACGGACCGCCACCGAGACGCGCGTAGGGATAATCCCGACGGAACTCGAATTAATCCCGACGAAATTTTGGCACTTTCTCCCAAAATACGTCACTCAACCCGAGGATCCCTCCACTACTGACCCAAATACCTACGGAATGTCCCCAAATCCCCCCTGTATTGAATATGCATCCTACCGTGGCTTCCTGCATATCTATGTGTTGCCACACGTATTCTGAAGCCATTCATGCAGGCAGAACCTCCGAATTCGGAATCCTTGGCTCGCTGGAGCCATTTGGAGTTCAAATTCGGAAACGCCCCCGAAAGGATGTCTCCTTCAACCCTAGGCACTGTTTGGCGGTGATTGGGCAATCATTTTTCTCCTCTTCTTATTTCAATCATCTTCTTTCCATTGATTTAAACATAATAGTAACTTACTCAATTAAGCTCACAAGCTTTATGTCTCAGAATAATCAAGCTGATCAACTCATTCTTAACGCTTTAAAGAGAAAGTCGCCTTTTCGTGGTCGACCTCCGAAAGTTTATGCTCCTAGTGCACAAACACCATCAACATGTCAGTTTCTTCCCCGAAACTTGTATTACTCCTTACTAACTATGTAGCCGGTCCTTCCCAACGTACTGAGTCTTCTTCTATCTACAAGGCAGCTTCGGAAATCCAGTCAGTTTCGGTTTCGGTGCCCTGTAAGACAGTCCCTTTTCCTTTTGGTTCATTGAAGCTTATGCTCAGTAAATAATTCAGAGCAGTTTCCCGGACCGTCGCAGCTAAGCCCACAGAGTGTTCTTCCCCAATCTTCCAATCACAAGATGCCTCTGTCCACGGCTGATCCCAGTGGGTACTTTCGGACCCCCCCTATGTATCAACTGACAGGAGAGTTGCCCCAGGAAATACTCCTGTATCCTCCAACGGTATTGGTATTGTGACACCCGACTCGGCACCCTGGACAGAGCTTGTCATGGCCTCCCCCTCAGCTTCATTGTCTCCTGCTGTTCCGAAATGGTCTCCCTCTCAACCTCTGAATCCTATTTCGGTGGAAGATGAGATCATGACTGCCAGGCAAGAGGCGGCCGGGCGCTTCCGAATTGTCAATATCTCTTCCGAATCATACTCCGTACCACGTCCTGAGGCTCAAGTCTTGGAGCTGAAAGCTCCTCGCACCGACGCCAGTCTTGGGGTCAACATACGTGCTTTGGAAACCTTCTGTCGATTACCGAATCCTGACCTGGTGGATGATGATCGCTATGAACAGTTTGAGGTGGCGTTTCATCATATTCCGAAAGCCTTTGACGCGTTGGTCAGTGTTCTGCTGTTTCGGAAGTGTAACTCTGTTGATATATTAGCGTCAGGACTACCTCATCGAGACCCAGCATATATCCAAATGTGTTCAAGTGGAATGGTTGGATCCCCCTGGTTTATTGCCCGCCGACATCAGGGGAAGACATGGCCTCTTCTTTGTCTCTGACAGTGCTGTCGCGTCATACCCGAATCGGACAGTGTTTCGGTCGATCTTCCGATGCAGTGGCAACTGTACCCAGATCCAGCCAACTTTGGACAGTGTCCACCACCATGTTGAGCCGAAAGCAAAGGATGAAACACACACAACAGCCGAAGCTCACCCTCCAACTGCTGCCAGCGCACGATATTCCTCAAGAGCACGTTTAAAGTGTGATCTTTTTCTTGAGGTGGGTCACCTAAGGATGATTCATCTTCACTAAGCTGATTTTCTTAGATACGAATGACTCCCAGCAATATCCGAAAAGGGGTCTGTTGTCTGATCCGCCCGAAAGCTGCATATCACGGTCAACCGAACCCGTTGACATTACTTCGGATTTCGCCACATCTCCGAAACCTACTCCACGATGCTGCAACTCTGGTGGGAACGACTGAGTCACGTCTTCGGCTTCGGTGGTACAATTCCTTCTGCAAGATTCACCCCTATGTCCTATGGGTCAAGGCAAATTATCCCGAGCGTCTTCCTACCACCACTGACTTCCAAACTGCCATCCGAACGGCTCTGCGGCAGGAAAGGCTGGATCGGCTACCACTGGCGGCGATAAGTATCTTACATGCGGCCAATCCAAGCTCTTTCCTGCAGTATGTAGCCAGCTTTTCCTTGTCATCATGAGCTGACTGTCAGTTGCGAATATCCTGAAGGCCTGGTACTCGGTGGCACTCAGCCATTCCCAGCTGACTCTTCGTTCATTGCAATCATCAGTCCGAAACATGCATTGCAATCAGCAATTCGGCATGCCACAGATCGGGGCCTCTTTCTGGATTCGTCTTGGAGAAATAAGAATGCCATACGCTGTCCTGTGACCCTGCTAGCAACGGTGAATGAATATGGTCATATGGTCCCTGGTGAGTTCTGTGGTTTGAAGCGTTTCGGGTGGTTTTGGAGCTGACAATGCTCCAGTAGCTGTCATGGTCTCGAATCACGCCAACACCGATTCCTACACCGAATTCTTGAGCGTTATCCGAAAGGCTATCAAGAAAGAAGCGAAAGCATTACTCAAGGGCAAATCATCAGTGGTCTCCGAATATGAGAATGAAGAGCAAATCCTCATCAACGCCGAATACATTCACGAGGAGGATTTCCTTCCACTACATTTCATGATTGATTGTGATGACGCTGAACGAAAGGCCATTGAGGAGGTCTTCCCGGGAACTCCAATTCGGTTATGCCAATTTCATTTCATGCACGCCGCCCGATCTCGAGCACTTCGGCTATTTGGGAGTGATCTGGTGGGTACCGAAAAGGCCTTTGCCTTCCTCGTGGCACTTCGGAGGTGCCAACGATGTTCCGAAGAGGAGTCTTGGTCAGAAGCTTTTGCTCGACTAGAAGCCGATGTTGCGGCAATCAGCAATAACGATCCCGAAATTTGGGACAAAATCAGAACCTGGCTCCTGTCTGAATGGTTCAGCGACAGATGGAGGGGATACCTTGTCGACTATGGTCTGCCACCTCATCACACCCGAGATGGTACTCTCTCAACAAACAACTTTGTCGAAGCGGCATTTCGGACCTTTGACAGAGTATTCCTTGAATCTCGAGCCAACAAACGTATAGACAAACTCCTCACAATCATCATCGACGTTCACTTTCCCATGTATCTCCATTCACCACCAACATCTGCCCGCTGTGACCCCACAGTTCTGTCACACATACTTCAAGGACTGGAGCTTTGGGAGCAAGGGGCGGTTAGGGAATGTTTCGGAGACGAGATGCCTATGTCATTGAGAGGTCAACTAGATCATACATATTGTGTGACATCATCCGAATCGAGCAAAACAACACCGGACTCACATTACTGTGGGATCAAAGACAAAACTCGTGAACGATGCTCCTGCAGATACTTTACCGAAACAGGCAAAAGGTGCTCGGGTCTCTGGGCATTGTACTGCTTTCACACTTGTGGCTCCTCCGAAAAGTATTCTGATGGTGTCACGGCAAACGAACTGCGACTGCAGACTCGAGCTATACAGCTACAACGACGGTTAGGAGAGATATCTTATCCATTGGATCAAGAAGACCTTGTTGCCTATTGGGGACATGACCCTTCGGAGCCTGTGTGGCATGATTGGTCCTCCGAGCAGCCTCCGAAACAGGGCAAGCTCATCAGCATCGATAGTGCCAACCTTGATTTTGTCGAGCCCGATTCCCCCATTACCCGCCGAAACCGATTCCTCAACCATGCTGACGACCATCCCTCAACCACTGCCACCTTACCGGTTTCAAGACCAGAGGCTGATAAGGGTGGCCGTCCAGCAGCTCACCGCCCTCTGCATCCTTATCGCCAAAAGACAGCCCCCACAAAAGCTGGCATTCCTCGGGACGCACTACCACCACGAGATCGACCTGTTGGAGCAAAGAATTATCTTCAATCCTGTTTTGCTCTGTCGTTGTTCCATATTGTCTTCCGAATCCCAGCCTTCGTGTCCGCATTCAACGATGCTAATGACGCTCTCAGGCCTCACGCACCTTCTTTGATTGTGTTACTAGGTGACTTTCTTAAAGCCATTTCGGTAACTAGACGGCTGGTGGATTTGAAGGACATTGTACCGATCCTCCGAAGTGAGTTCCCTTCCTCCATCATTGCTGCCAATCAGCATGTTCATTTGCTGACATGCAGGTGAGAACTTGATAGATGAAGAATCTCAGCATGATCCGTGTGAACTGTTTCTCAGAATGACAAGCAAATTCAATCAGATCATTGAACAGAACCCGATTCGGAACACATTCGAATTCAGAGTAACCTGGGAATATGTCTTTCAGCCCTGTTCCCATGCAGTCCCTGTCAGGCAAGAGACATCCTCACTGGAGAAGCAAATGACCGTTCTCCAAATCTATCCCCATGGCTCATCACTTAACCTCATCCAGCTCATGAACCTTTCATTGTGGCGTTCATGCAGTCCCCAACATTGCTTTTCGGTACCATGTGATGGACGAATGGCTGTCACTCGAGCACGAGCCAAGATGTCCTTGGAATCCAACAACCTGCCCCGCATGTTACTCCTCAACATTGTCTGGGATCTCCGAAACCCCTCTGCATACCAAGTGATCCACCCTTTTGACATTCCCGAAACTATCAACCCAGCGCAGGTTTCGGCCGTACCTCCTGCTATACTCCCGAGCAATCTTCCAATGTACAGATTGAAGGGAATGCTCTGCCGAAAGGGGGACACCGTGCAGGTGACCAGTGGACACTATGTGGCTTTGCTAAAGCACGATGATGTGCTG